TGGAGGGTTCAGGGTATCTCCTAGTCGAGCAGTCTCGACTAGAGTCTTCTTACTTGTTTTTTATTGTTATTATATAATGAGTTATTGAAATCCATTTTATCTAAAAATATGTACTGTATTTAAATATTATTTAACAGGGAAAATAATAATAATAATAGAAAATTAACATATAAAAAACATGTCTAAAATACATATAATTGAAATAATATGTAACAAATTTATATGAGGTAAGTTTTATTTAAATATTATTTAACAGGGAAAATAATAATAATAATAGAAAATTAACATATAAAAAACATGTCTAAAATACATATAATTGAAATAATATGTAACAAATTTATATGAGGTAAGTTTTAATTCGTGTGTTAATAATATTACGAATTATTACATTGACCACTTCCACTTCGATCCCACTTCGTATTTACAAAGTGTAAAGTTCCCAGTTTCTAGATATTTATACCTCTAAAGATGTATTTATGTAGATAAAAGACAGCAAATCTAAAAGTACTTTTAGTTAATTATCACACCTATGTTAAAATCCACTTCCCTACACTTTTAGTCTCTATTAAATATAAATGCTTTAAGTTTGTAATTTGCTCACATCAGAGGCAACGTCATCTGCGACAATTCACCTGTCAGAAGCCAGAAGGAAGCCAAGGGAAGTGAGCTGAGGACAATCAGCCACGACCCAATATATATGTATGCAGGGAGTAAGACATTTAAAATAGGAAATGAGCTGACTTGGTCGATAAATATGTTTGATAAGCTCATTATTCAGAGCTCATTGTTGCGTCCACATCGGAGTCCCCTTGTAATGCGTGTTAGTTGCGTTATTAGTTGAGGCGCCTCCTGTGCCCTGGGTGCAGTTTAGTGTTTCTTTTTTTTTTTTTTTTATGTGCAGGACATTCTTTTTTCTTTGCAATGAGTGTACCTATGTGTGTGTGTGTGTGTGTGTTTGATATTATATGAAATGTCAAGGCATGTCTGCAACGTTCGCTTTTATATAAGTATGCGGGCAGGTGCTGCTGTCGGGGCTAGCTGCAAAGTCGCCAAGCAGCAAGCCAGCAATTCATCCAGCAAAGACAACCAGCCAGCCAGCCAGACAGCCAGCCATTCAGGCATTCAGGCAGTTAGCTCATGGGCCGGAAGGGTATTGGCTCTTTTTATGAGCTTCTGTTGGCTTGTTGAATTTATGGCCATAAGGAACTTGTTAAAGCGTATTATTGGGTGTGTAACAAGTGTGTGTGAGTGAGAGAGAGAGAGCTGTGTGTGTGACTTCTATGAGTTGTGTTTGTTTTTCTTTTCATATTTTGTGCTACGGCGTGTAAACTCTTCAGCTAGAGGCGGAGACAGAGGCAGGCTGCCTTGGCTACTCATAAGTGGATTAAAGTCAAATTTATATGCCGTACATACCGTATGTATGTGTGTGTGTGAGTGTTTAAGTTTGTGCTCTGCGTTAAGTGGCAGCAATTAACACTTGACATATTTATGTTTGGTCCCGAGGCGAAACGTTGTCTTCTCAATTGTGCATTATGCCCTGCTAGGCAACAACAACAACAACAACAACAACAACAACAGCATCAGCTAACGGGAGGAGCAAGCAGCAATAAAAACAACCACAATTACAACAACAACAATAGCAACAACAGTAACAGCAACAGCGACAATTAAGGCAAGGCCAATCCCAATCGATATGACAACAATGTTCCGCAAGCTGCTTATTTTATTTATTAAGCGCTTTAGCCTTGCGGTGGGCGTGGCAACACTTTGAGTCATGTGTCGACCACAGGCAGGGGAGCGGAACAGGGGGGGCTCGGGATAAACGTGCCAAGCAAATATTTAAAGATAATTAACTGCGGATGCCAAGACTCAAGAGGAAGCAACTGGCCGAGATGAAGAGGAAGCAGAAGCCATTAGATAACTAGTCTAGACTGGGAGCAGGGCCAAGCGATGAACATGTTGTATTGGCCAATAATAAAGTGCTACAGTGGCATAATAAAGATTGATTTGCCTATTGCCTTAATAGTCCCCCAGTTTCCATAACATAGTTGAGGAGGCAAGGATTCGAGTGCCCCAGTACCCATAGAGCTTATGAAAATACTTTGCAAAGTATTTTTTTGAACATCCCAACAAGGAATTTTCTCCTATGCAGGCAACTACATATTTGACCGCCTAAGTGGACCCAAAATGTTTGACCATAGAATGAAAAGGCCAAAAGGACGAGCTGAGAAACATTTTGAAGTCCCATTTTTAATTAATTTCAATTAAAAGCCTCAGTTTTAATTAATTTAATTTTGAAATAAAACACCATAAACTCTAGTCAGAGATATTCGACAAGTATATACCCCCATTTGAGCCAGAGCTCTCTAGTTTGACGAATATCCTGACTATAGAAGAGGCTGTCAAATATATCTCTTAGGACAATGTGAGGTATGCTGATTCCCAAAGTCTATTTAATCAGTCGGAGTAATGGGAAGAAACGAGTCTCAAGTTATTTTAGATAGTTGAATATATATCTATATATTATATCCATATATGTATATATTAGATTAGTTACGATCCAGACTGCGAGCTTGGCTTAAGCACGAGTCAGATCCTTCCGATTGTAGCCATTCTCAATGAGAATTTCATGAGTATCTGACTCATTCAGTATAAATACAAACAAATATAAAATAAATCATATTTGTAATATCATATGTGAACTGAATTGCATTCAATTGATGATAGAAGTATATTGGTTTTTCGTGCTGCTCAATTCTTGTTCGCATCCTCGTCTATTTGTCATCTTGACGCTATTAACAATTATAATTAAGAAAGGCCATATCAGCTTAGGTCAGTTGGTAAATCAAAAACAACATTTATTTATTTATTTGTGCAGGAAGATTATCTTCTCAGTTAGATCATTGGCCAGCCTTGCCGTGCCGTTCGTATAAGTCTACGTGGCAACAGAGTACGGCACAGTCGCTTGCCACCAGCCGTAAGGATTTAACTTGGTTTTACGGAAATATGCAATGGATTGATAAATATGAGTAAACATTACGTATACCACCTATTTTTGGTATGTTTCAACTTAATAGTATTCGTTTACATATATTTCTATCAGGAAGGAAACTCGCATTCTCATTATGAGAAATTCTTGACCAAGTTCATTCCTCGAGCATACCTGCGTATATAATCAATTAATGTATTTTATGTAAATGTTGATGATGAGTCGGCATAATTAATTTCCGGCAGAGCCTTGAATGGTTCCCAAATGATGGCCGCAGGAAACGCAGCAGGTGGAAAATTCGCCAAAAAAAAAAAAAATTTTTTTATATTTCCTAGGCTTCTGTGCGCTGTGTGCTCGCTGTGCGGCTGATTCATTTGGCTAAAAGTCTGAGAACGAAACAATAAAACGCTGAAAGAGACAAGCGGGCGAACCGGCGTCTTACGCAGTGCCATTGACCCACGTGCCGAGAGCCAGAGAGTAAAAGACAGAGAGAGAGGGAGAGAGAGACATAGAGAAGTACCTGGTAAAGTGGCCAAGTTCATTGTAGTTGTGCGTGTGAGTGGAGTGTGTGTATATCTTGCGGATTTGGGTTAATGTTGTAACGTTGGTCAACATGGGTGCGCATTTGAAAGGGCGCAATAAAGCAGAAAATAGAAAAATTACTCAGCGGCACACACAGAAAAAAGGGATGACCAAAGGCGTTCCGGTTCACCCTTTCGCTCGCAATCCACGCAATAGATGGCCCACCATTCAGTTCAAATTAGACAAGCTAACGGGTTATTCTAAACTAGTGGTAATTAAATTTTTGACTTGGTCTAGAGTTAGTTGAATGTGTTTTCGGGAACATTTGATGCTTGGACCGGGAGCTAGTACGACTTGGACTTGAGTAAGAAACTCATGCTTGAACCTTTTTGTTTGTGTTACGCATTATTATGCATAAAATGTGCCCAAGTTGCCCCACAAGCCAAGTCAGCAAGCGCTTTGATGTCCTTTGCCAAGGACTATTTCGCTTAAATCAAAGCATTTACATTGGCCGTCGTCTGTTGATTTGACTGAATGCTGAAGTGCTGAGCAGTCAGTCGGGTCGCAAATTCTTGAAAGCCGAAAGCCGAAAGCCGCAAAGAAAAAGGCAATAAGCCGTATAAGTGGACACTTTATAAGGCGCACCACCAACCGCTACCCTCACCGCCCACCAGTACAACAACAATGGGAATAGAAAACAGCCTTTTGCAATAGGCATTTGGTCAGCCATTCAAAAGGCATTAAAATTGATAAATTGCCATTGCATTCAAGTCTCTTAAATCTTGATATAACATTCGAGCAATAAAACTGGAAAACCTCAATTTATTTTTGATATTTGCCATAAGAGAGGTCAGCTCGTTCTCCCTTCTTCTCTTCCTCTCTCTCTCTCTCACTCTATCTCTCTCTCTCTCTGTCTCTCTCTCTCTCTGACTGTAGATTTCAGCAACTGGTCGACCCACGCAATCGGAATGCAACTTGTTTGAACTTTTTGATAAGAACTTTATGCAAACTTCTGTGCCATAAGCGATATTATTTAGCTCACGCTAATGCAAACTGACATTTAATCGGCCTAACCGCTGAGCCGCTAGACCCAGTGCAAAGTTTTCTTTAAGTCAAAATTCACTCTCATAAAGCCAAGCGTATTGCGGACGCTGTCAACAGAGCTAGGAGCAGACAGCGGACGTCGAATAGCGGACAGCAGAGCTAAGCAGTTTAAGTTGCGACGGCGATATACCCTGTGCATACAGCGAATATGTCCACTTTGACTTTTCCGATTTATAGATAAACAAATCGATCATAATGTGGAACATAACTATATTTCAATGATATCTTGAAATCGATGGAGGTATATATGGTTTAACTATGATAGAAAGTGTTAAAGAGCACAGATTAGCATAGAAAGGTGGGACACCTAAGTGCAGCATAGAAAGCTGTTTGCATTCAGTGACTCATTCAGTCACTAACCATAAAACATAATTTTAAGTAAATTGTATCTGTTTTTTTATTTATTTTTTTTTTTCAAAGAGAGAGATTTTCCAGATCTATATAATCCATACATGGTTATCAACGAAGTGAAGTGTGGTGCACTGAGAGAGTTGGGGACTCTAAACTGTAGTTGGGTTTCGAAAAGTGCAAGTCATTCTAGGATATTGCCAAGCCAATCATCAGTAAATATATTAAGCTCCTATTTGCCGCTGCTGTTGTTGTTGGCTTTGCAGTTTGTTGTTTACTCCTCGGAATTAGCATAGCAAAAAGAAATTAGCATAAAATCAAATCAACATTGTGAGGTCTTGGCTGTTGTCTCCTGTCTCCTGTCTCTTGTCTCTTGTCTTTTGTCGTCGGCTGGTGCGCACAGCTGCTCTGTGGGAAATTGTGAAATCGAGATGCCGTCAGATGAAACTGAAAAGTTCACATTTCTTTCACCAGTTGGACAGTTGTTGAGCAGACGAGGCGAGTGACACCTCAGCCCGTACAGCTTGTTGATCTCTCTAATTTATTCAATTGAATTGCTCAGCCACGAATTAAGGCCTGACTGCTCTCTCGTCGATTCGACTGGGTGAGAGTTCAGTTAGCTTGTCAATTTCAATTTGATTATTATTCAATAGCAGTTAGTTAATAGAGACAACAGGGCGTATACGCAATCCAATGAGCGTGACATTTCTGTTGCATACTTTTGGCCGCCACTGAGGTGGCTCCACGTAGCCCGGAATAGAACTGTTTGCCTAAGCTATTTTCGCTTTAAATTCGGTGCCCATTCCCCAATATGGGCGTCGAGTGGCGAGCTGGAGAACAAACACCAACAAATATAGAAAGCGAACCGCCAGTCTGTCTGCTGCCATTTATAAAACATAATTGAAATATGAGATTGACATTGAATAGCAACGCTTTGTTGCTGCTGCTCCATTGTTGGCACTTTTGTTGTGCTCGTGAGCCTTTCACAGTGGCATTGCGACAATATTTTTGTTATGTCTCGGCGCTTGTTGCTGTTGTCGCCAGCATCTAATTGATTAATGTTAATAGACGAACAAACAGCATTGCGACTCTCGCTCATATTTAATTTCTCAGCATAACGACTAGAAAATGAAGGCAAGTGCAGTTTGTTGATCTCGCATTATGTGTGCGTGTAATGGACACTTATTTATCGTGCCCACTGTGTCCCTGTGCCCCGCGCCTCGGGCCATATGTCGAATATGAAGACTAAATACATTAGCTTGAAGCGTTTATTGTACGCTTGCCGAGAATATTTCAATTTTGTTACTTAATGTGTAACGCCTGGAAATAGATGTTGCTGACCTAATAATGTGGTAAGTTTATATTGATTAATATTACTGGACGATTCAATTCGCTGTCTGTCTCTATAATTCTATAAATATAATTGAACGATATTTCTTATCAAATTTCTTCACCTCTCTCCTTCAAGCAGAGCGTCCGAATATTTAGTGAAATTCGTTGGATCGCAGCTTTTTGATATATTTCTATAAAGTAAACATTCTGTGCATTGGGACATTTCCGGGTATTATTTTTGCCCGATGTATGAGTAGGATTTATGGCTACTGCAGTGAATAGGTTGTTATTGTTAAGTCAGTGGTAATAAATAAAAGCGGTTGGCTGGACGCTGTCCTTTGTGTAAGAAGCGCGGAAGAGCTTATGCAGTAGACTGAAAATGTGGTACCTTAATTCCACTCCATTTTCATTTTTATTTTACTTATTGTGTCTCCTTGTAATATTCAATTTAAATCAAATGAAACCGGTTAATAATACGGGATGATTACTTAGAAATACATAAATAATACATATGTATATAACTTTCTAAAAACGAATTAATGGTAAACTTGGTATTGAATTTACTAAAATGCGACTTTGCTATTCAAATTCGGGTTCAGAGCATAATATTTAATGGAAATATTTAAATTGCATCTCTTTGAGATTCAAGGAAAGAAGTAAATTTTCTCAGACGCCCTCTGTTAACTCCTTACGCTTAACATAATTGCGTCCTGTTATGGGCAACATCTCACGATTCTGTGATACATATTGTCTCTTAACAGTGGGTAACAGCTATGCTAAGAGCATTAGCAGATTTATGTTATAAGCACGTGCTTACATGTTATGTCGGCTGTTAAATGATCAAATTTAGTTGACTGCGAGGCGAGTGTAAATGAAATGAAATGGCCAGAGTTCTGCTGTCAGAGGCTTAACTTTAAGATCGTATTATTCCGCTTGCAATTTGGATATTTATTGAATGGCCAAATTTAATCAAAGCCAAGGTGAGAGCTGGTGCAATTGTCAAATTATCGCCAGCTAAAGAACAACAATGCCAGCCACACACATTTAATACACACTCGCACACTCAGCCAGAGTCGAACTCACCTAAGGCAAACACGTTCCTCCTCCTGCTCGGCGTTCATTGTTTTGTACTGTGTGGCGGGGGCCCTGCCTCCGACCTGTGCCCTGGTGTCTGTTTTTTTTGGATTTCCACTCCTCGTCAAGTGCGTGGGTGGGGTGGGTGGATTTTTTCGGATGCCAGCAACTGACAGCTGGCAGCAGTTGAGAATCCTCGAGTTCGACAATATTTGCCGGGCTTTAAGGTGCTGAAAGTCGTTCTAAGCTGTTGTCGATTTGCCTAACACCGCACAGCGACGTCGAGCAGCGGCAGATGAGGTTGTCTATTACATGATTTGGGCGCGGCCTGCAGAGAATTGCCGAGCTGTAAGCAAATAAACAGGAAATCGCATATATTTCATAATACTTGAATACTTGAAAAAAATGACTGTCACAGTCGAGTCTATAAAAGCTTAAAATTCCACAAAAAGCTGTCAGCAGGACTATCAAACGGCAACACTGAGTTGGCCGAGACACTTGCTGCTTGTCTGCTGTCTGTCCCCGTTCCCTCCACTTAGCCAAGCCAAGCCATTCGCATTTAACAATGCCAGTATATAATTTAATAAATAGTTGCAGTTGACAGATTTCAAGTGGAAACGGGGCAAGTGTGGCTGCCACTACATGTCCCCGACAACAAGAGCCACCACGACAGCAGGCCCTGCAACACTACTAACAGCCACAGCAACAACAACTACGCCAACAACAACAGCTTTGACTGAAAAATGAGAAAACAACAAACACAATGTTTCTACAAAGCAATACTCGTATATCAACGACGACAAGTGCAAAAGCGTGTGCAAGAAGTGCCAAGCAAACGGGAGTTTCTAAGCCTAGCCTCGCACCGGGAATACTCTTTTATATGGAGTACTGACATGGATTTGATATATTTAAATATATTTGCAGTCGAGTTGCAACAAGCCTAGAACAATACGCACAACCTTTTATCGCTTTGATACAAACTTATAATACCTAAGTATTCGATAGCTTTTAGTTCCCTTCTTACCCTGTACGTGCCACAAATTGTTCTTTGCTTATTGTTTTTGCTTAGTTTAATGATTTCTTTCTAGTCAAAAGTCAGATAAACTTAATAATGAAGCCTTTGAAGCCAAATTCGTTTCTAAAATGTAAAATCCTTGTTCACTCGAAATAAATCTCGCTTAATAATAATTATATAAAAATAATGAAAAAAGGTCTGATCACATGTCATTTAGAACTATAAAGATTTGAGTTTATACATAATTAGTTATCTAGTAATACCAGTGGCTCTATTTAAATGAGCTTTGGCGAGTCGAACCCGAACGACAGGTTAATACAGCTACTATTGAACATGTTGTGAATAATCATAATGATTGTTTCAATTAAGAACTAATTAATGAATGCCTTCGTCTATAGGAAAATCAATGTTGCAATGGGCTCCAATGGGATAGCCCACCAATTTACTTTAGACCTACATTTCAATTGGCGAAGATCATTAATGATTGATAATTGATTGATAATATCACACAGTCAACAGATGATGATACTATAAACATTTTCGAATTGTACTTGTCCAATTATCCAATGGTAAGACAACAATATCGTTTTTTATACGTCAATGCTTATTAAAAAATATTTTTAGTTACTATTAATATGATAGATATTATAAATTATTAATTATTATTAATTATTATGATAATGAAAAAGACTCAATACATCATTGCAAGATGATTAATTCTTGTATAGGAACATTGAAATACTTGGAAGACTTCGTTTTGACTTTAGAATGTGAATTTTAGAGGCTGCTCAAATTATGAATGATTTTTTTATGTCTTTAAAACTCGAATATCAATTATTTGTTAATCATACACGTTATGTGATAAATTTTGCAGTTTTTTAAGAACCGATAGGTACCAGGTAAATATGCATTAATTTAAAATTACTTTAGTTTCAATGGCAATCCGTGGCTTAATATTCACACAGGCAGCCAGGCAGGACATTGAACAAAATCAATAATACTTGCCTCTTTGTGAACGAATATGAAAACTCTGTTAGCACAACCTTTGTAGATCGAGTTGAAATAATAATCTAATTAATTAGTGCATTCTGCAGTTGGTCATTTATAAAGAGTTTCAGCTACTGAAGCCGCGACTCGTTCGCAGTTTAAAGCATTCGCATGACACGCGAAACCTTAAAGGCAAAATGAATATACATACATGTATGCACATGTATTTTTATATGAATGTATGTATATTATATTTGTTTGTTGGGAATGTGGGGCACTTTGCATCCGGCTTCATGGGCAGAGCAACCAGCAGCCGGCATGTGATTCCCTGCGGCCACATTGCCAGCCAAGCGACATCCACATCAGCTGCAATTCAATCAGTGCGTGCCGCTTGGTGGCCACTTGGCGATGCTGTTTGTGGCGGCCGGAGCTGGGCCCTGGCAGCAGGCGAGCAACTGGGAGCAGGCGGCAGGCGGCAGGCGGCGACATTTACACTTAATTGGAGGGCCGTGTTCTGCGCCTTGGCGCATTATTAAGTCATAAAACTCAATTTGAGGCGCTTCAGCAGGATGCACTTACGCGTAATCGCATTTCT